AGATGTCGTCGCCGTTATCACGTGGATTATGACAGGGGCTATACAGGTGGGGAGGGGGGGGGTAGCGACATCAGAAATGTTGGCGCTGGTTGCCATGGTGATGGTTACTGTCGTGGGTGCGACGGGATTCGATGCAGTGGTCACGTTAAGGGTGTATGCGGAGTCAGCAAGTGGAGGTGTCAGATTTGAAAAAGTCAGAATTCCGGGATAAGAAAAAGAATTAGTTTCTGCTCACTGGAATACATTTGTTGCTTTGCTGACGTTTCGGACAGCTGGGCCGACTGTCCTTTGTCGAGGCGAATACTAAATTTATCGATCAGCAAGTTCAAAGTTAGGGCTGTGCGTGTTGGCCTTGGACTGATCGATTTTTCTCCGGTCGCTGTTTGGCCGTGCATGTGGATTTAGGCTAGTCGTGACGGCAGTTAGTCTTCTGTTTCGTCCCCACGGTAGAGAATGCAGACGTCCGACGAGGCCACCGCTCTCTTACTTCCCTTCTCACCTTCTCAGGCACTACTGAATACAGTCAATGTTAGCTCTTTCTTCACCACTGTTCAGTGCTGCCCGAAACAGCTACACAGGGCTCTGTGCACAGAGCCAGGTGGACTTCATCGAAATTGACGGTGGTCGAACTGTTATGTATAGTCTAGGTGTGTTTGTGTGTTTTAAGGGGACCTAGCTTGCCCTGCTTTACAGAATGCTATGTCTAGGAGCATAGGACCAAAGAAGTGCATACAGCTTCGACATTTTCTAGGACAGAGTAAACAGACGAGATGTGCGTAACGGGTGTACGCTAGCGTCTCAGCCAGTAGTTTGTCTGTCGCAGTGCCATAAATTCACAAATGAGCTACTAGACCCATGCGTGATTCGTTCGCGATAGCGCCGGGTTTGACCTGAAGCTATGCTGTTTGTAGTAGTCGTGTGCAAGAGTTAAACGGAAAGCACGACTGTGATGTCCGTGGTATTGGCGGTGGGCCGCTCTTCGAAATGTTACTTCCGTCGAGAAGACGTAGTCGGGGGATCAAGCGTTTTTTTCTATTCACAGTCGAATCCGTCATCACTGACAGAATTTGTGCAAGCTTGTGAGTTTCTGTGCCGTTAAAAATTGGCAGTTTCACATTCATCGCTGGTGGTTGCACGGGGTGCGATAGTGGTTCAAGTGCGCACGCTTTGGGGCATGCAGTTGCAATGCCCCTCTGTCAAAATTAGCGCTTCTGGTATTTAGCATAGGCGGTTGAACGTGGTGTGGTAACAACTTCGTTGTTCGCAGATGAGTCATCAATTGCCGAAACTTCATCAGCCGTATGGGTGTTTTTGGGCCAGTTGTTGAATCAGCGGCATCGGCGCCAGGCGCAGGGGACGTTCACTCCTCTCCGCGTTGCTAACGTCTATGCCTGGGCAAAGTTTCCGAACAGAATACGAAAGCAGGAGGCCATTGTGCTGGTTAATCGACGGAGAGCTGGAAAAGGATAAATCAAGCAACTCACAGCTCTCGACGGTGCCAACTTTTGTGACAACTTGGGCCTCGTAAATATGGTCAGGTCCCATCGGATGGGTCGCGACCCGAAAGCTGCTGTCATTT